TTCGGATGATGTTACCGAAGACGGAGACGGTGGAGGCGCATAGAGCTTCAGCGCGAGATATCCTCCCAATTGGACTCAAAAACGCGTCTTTGAGCGATAGTACGGGAGGTTTCTTCTGCTCAGACTTGTCTGTTGCTTGTTCCGCCCTGCTCCGCATGAAAGACCTGCCTGTTGCTTTAGTTGTAGCCTTCTTTACCCGCCGTTCTGGTGGCTTCTTTTGTTTTTGTTGCCCCTCGACTTCACCATCTGTGTTACCGGTACTTGAACTGGTTGCATTCACGTAAGGTACCATAGTGACACCGTCGGAGCTTTGTTGCCGCATTAAATAACAAACACTAACGCGAACGTCACCACGTGCTGTATGTCCAGGATAAGCCTTTTCAAGTGGAAACCACCGATACAAAGCATACTCAGTCGCCAGCGGTGTCTCGAGTAGTGATAGCGGTATTTCGACGACACCTAGTAAACTATCGCTGCCTCCGCCATTGTTATCAGTAGTTTTTACGATTACTGTAGCGCTCGATTCATCAATGACACTCTGAGGTGAAGCGAGTCTATGCCTCATGGCATTATTGTCCATGTCTATGGGAAAGCGCAGCGAGCAGCCATGCAATTGAATTTTCGTGTTGCTCTTGTGGAAACTTGACATAAGTTGCCGTGCTGGACTAACACGAAACACCACAGCACTTTGACGCTTTAGTTGCAACTCGGTTTCGAGGTATTTGCCGTCTAAAGTTGCGCTATCCAATGTTAGGTCTCGAACAGCAGCCACATTGATCACCAATTCATACGGTGGCATCGTCGTTGGAGGTGGCGGGTCTGGGATGAGATCAGACGTAGCTGGAACAAGCTCAGTCGTAGATTGTAGAGGTGCAACAGCTTTTTCAACTTCTAACGGAATTAGCACAGAGGTACAGGGGAGCTCTATCTCGTCCTTGTTGCGTATATGTGGACGTAAAAACTTGTGGATCACCTGAGCTGAATGTTTCCCCCTGGGGTTTTCCGCTGCTTCTCGCTCAATAGCTCGACGTTTCTGTTCTCTCGCAAACTCGTTGATTCCATTTACGTCTTCCTTCAGGTTTACGAGATCTTTGCGGTCTTCGGTTTGTTGCTGTTCATGACCAACCTCAGCTCCGATGGTCAGCAAAAAGTGTCGGAGATGCACTCGAAGCAGCTTTTGTTGCGTGGTCTGGGATTGTCCAGCGTGTCGAGTGTTGAATTCTCTCCGCTGTCGTGCCTTAAATGCTTCATAAGTCTCCCTTGCTGTGGTCTTGCTCATGACCTAGCCATACTACGACCCTTCATGGAACATGGCTACATTATCAGCAGCTCCAAAAAATGGCCAATAATTTGTAGACAGTAATTGGCCGATTCCGGACACCAGTCCGGAT